CCCCAAAACCCCAAAACCCCAAAACCCCAAAACCCCATTTAGTGTCTCAGAATTGAAACAAGCGTACTAAGTTAATACCTCCGGTAGTACTGATTAACTTGATTGGTGAACACAGGCATGTAGCTTCCGGCTATACTCCCACTTCTAGCATAAGACCCTGTCCTATAAGAGTCAGTGGTTGGCATGGCGATTTACTTACCTAGTAAAGGGCTTCTGGTGATAATTCCTTCTTCTAACAGTATTCTCTTTGATAAGGGAAGGTGAAGAGCTAGATTTTGAGTAAAACCCTAGTCCATTTGAAATTATTGGCTGCTTGTAGTCCGAGCTTTTACCGCTAGGTCAAGGTTGATTTAGGTAATAGTGTGAGTGAAGGAGTAAATGCTATCAAATTGCAGGGTAAGGTGGCCATGAGTAATTTTAGCCTTATTATAACTAAAAGATTTATTCCAGCGAGTTTCAAATCGATACTCCTAAAGACATCGAAATTGCCAATATTTTTGATATAAAAAGGGAATAATTCTTGGTAAAAATATTAATAAAGATCAATAAATTGTCAAAAAATGCTCAATATCTTGATATTTTTGATAAAAATAAACAAAATCCAAATATGTAGAAATGAAAATAATTAAGCGCAGAACAGAATTAACCTTAAGAATAGGAACATAACTTTATTTATCAATATTTCAAAATATTATTTAGTGGGAATCACACTTTCTGAAAATGTCTAAATTAACTCAGAATGGTTACTTTAAAAATTAATTTCCTATAAAAAAACACCACAACCTTAATGAGTAATACCCGAGGGGACTGACTATACTGCTTACTTGAACTCTCTTGTAAAAAGTCTACTGGAAAGTGTCTCAATAGATTTCTTGTAATGGTCTGGCTTGTCTCTTGTTTTATCTAAGATTTTACTTAATAATTACTTAAATGTTTTGACTCAGTAGAAGGATTAGTTGTTCCAGGAGATGCTACACTTATCATTTTGGTTGAAGACCCTCTATATCCACAGTTAGAAGTTTAAGGGAAGCATCTACCTTGAAAAATGTATCTCTTTTCTGCTAAATGCCTTATTTTGGTGTCGTGAAATCTGAGTAATTCTTGGGAGTGTGAAGATAAATTTGAGATGAACTCTGGTAAAGACCTCTAGATTTTGGACATGACTTTAATTCTAAATCTACTTTGTTCTTCCTTGAGTCAAACCCATAACCATTGTTCTGATTATTAATCTTTTGATATGCAATGTCAATATGGCTTAAAGCATCTTCTTTGTTCATTTTTATTCAATATTAATTAATTGTAATGGGGTTTTGGGGTTTTGGGGTTTTGGGGTTTTGGGGTTTTGGGG